TGGCTATGGTGTGTAACCATGACCTTTTGTGCCTGGCTCAGTAAATCATTTCATTCAGCAAGTGCTTTTTACTGAATCCTGATTATGAACCAGCCAGGGGCTGGGGATAGAGAGATGAAAGACATAGACAGAACTTGATCTCATGGGCCTCCGGGGGAGATAGATATTCGGAGCAGTAATTACCTTCAGTTTGGTAAGTGCTAAGGAAGCGCGCAGGAGGCGCACCGTGCCCAGTCTGGCTGGTGGCTGGGAGAGGGGGTGAAGTGATTCTTGAGCAGTCTTGAAGGGTAAGAAGAAAGGACCACAGAAGAGGAAGGTGGGGAGAGGGGGAGAGGAAATGGAACGCCAGTCCTGGCAGAAGCGCCGGGATGGAGCAGGGAAACATAAGTAGATCCTTGTGGCTCAAGTGCCAGGTGTGCATAGCAGGTGGGCTGGTGGGGAAGAAGGGCAGCAACAGGACCGAGTCTGGGGCGGGAGGGAGGGGCCAGAGCACCAAGGGCCTGGGACACCACGGACAGCACAGCAGACTCCATCCTAAAGGTGATGGGAAGTCACGTGGGTATTAATCAGTAAAGCAAGGAGATCAGATGTTTAGAAAAGGTCTTTACGGCAGCAGTGTGGAGGTTGGAATGGAGGGGGATGGGCAGAGCAGATCGATTTGTACTGGAACTCAGGAAAGAAACAATGAGAGCTTGAGTAAGGCGGTATTTCTTGTTCTGCATCAGATAGAAGTCGATTTTAATCCCGGCCCCTCCTGATATTAGCTGTGTGACCTAAGGCAGGTCTCTCCGACTTATCTTACCTCTCCGAGTCTCACTTTCCCCATATGCAAGATGGCCTCATGAGGACTGACCTCACAAAGTTGTGAGGATTAAGTGTAAAGTGCTTGGTGCGGTGCCTAGAGCATGGTAATCACACACACAAAAATGGTATCTTTGTTCTTTTTTTTTTTTAAGATTTTATTTATTTAATTGACAGAGAGACAGCGAGAGAGGGAACACAAGCAGGGGGAGTGGGAGAGGGAGAAGCAGGCTTCCCGCAGAGCAGGG